TGTGTTCAATTTTAGCTCTAGTTTCCCTCAATGGATTTACTGTTCCATCGATGTGTGTTTCAAGCTTGCTGTAGACAATGTCGTGTTTCTAAACCCTAGGGCATCAACCACCACTCAATTTCAAGTCTGATTTAAGGTTTTAGGAAAATTGATTTTATGTGTTAATCGAAAATGTCGAGTTATGGTTTCTCTTAATACATCTCCTATGTGTTGTTGTGAACATTTAGGAACACCATAACTTATTCTGGTTTGAAGTAAAGGGAGACAAGTAGAACGAATCATTACCCAAACATTGAGAAGCAATCTCGTAGAAGCTTGGTGTTGTTTGTGCAATTTTTATAATGGCTTTTGAAAATATTTCTAACTGCTGAACAGCTCCAAATTGCAAAGCTAAACAAGTTTTTCTTTCGGTTAGAAGGTTGACAAGTTATTTTCGTAGATGATTTATATTTGAATTAATGGTCCATCTTCAATCAAACCCTGCTGTGTTCAACCAAAGCCAGGGTCAAGTCTCCATAAGATCATTTTACAATCACCCATCTAAATGTCAAATGAAGAGTAGATCCCACTATTTTTCCCAATTACCAAGCACAGAAAGTGATGTAGTATCCACAGAAAAAACATGAAATAGATTCTGGAATATCCTACAACAAGGAAATATAAGCTTAGGGTTTCACAATGGTGAAGTTAGCTTTGAAGGGTCACGACCCAATCCGAGTGCAGGATACAGTCCTATGTATCTCCTATCATAATTCAAGAATAAAGACAGATACAATTCTATTTATCAGCTATTTTGGGAGATTGACACCTAGGAGTTGCTTGGGTTTACTTTTCATGATCTTTATGGCTCACTTCGAGTATTGAGGCTGTCATGCTTAGTTGTTATTGTTTGTGCATTATATTTTTAGATTTCATTCACCACAATAGTTCAATGTTATGTCAAATGTTGAGTTCAATGCCTTTATACACCTTTCTGTAGCATTTTAAGAGTAGGAGGTTAAACATTATGGCAAAATGTCAACACAGTTGGCATAAAGTGTAGAATTTGAACAAGAGGCAACTTCTACAGAGTTCTGCTCTATCAGAAAAGGTTCATAGGAGAAGGGAAATCTCAAAAACATAAATGATTGTCTTCGTAGTATCATCTTAATTTCTTATCATTATTCAATTTTGTATCTGTTATGGGTGGGGTGAGGAGAACATCATAACCTGGTAAATAGTGCTTTCCCAAATTTTAAGGACATTTGGAACTTTTGAATCAAGATGGCATTCTCATCTCTCAAATTTTTAGCTCTCCCTGCCAAGGTAATAAATTTATCCAATGGCTTTGTTTGATTGTATGCATGTGTTATTCATCTCGGGTTTTGACTATTGATATATATTTCGTAACATTTTGGAACTTACTGAACAACAAGTATGCAACTTTGCAATTTAGCAATGTAGTTCGGCTTCGAAGGACATAACCCAATTGATATCCGAATTTTCAGTTACAGGGATGAGTTTTTTTGTTGACCAAAAAAAAAAAGAGATGAGGTTTTAGTAAAAATCCCCAGATGTTGTATGCAATCACATAATATAACTTGATTTGTGTGTACATACATGAAAACAGACTCGTTTTGTTTTGGTTTAAATTGGTAATACTGATTGGGATCATGGTTTCTCTGCATGTTTATTATTGCAGTTTCAACGAAGAAACCGAATTTACAAGGAGGAGCAGCGTAAAATAAGGGCAGCTGCGCGGGCCAAAGAGGGTGGAGAGGTTGATAAGCATCACCATCCATAGCAGAAATCGATCATCATTTGAACTGAAGAAATAATAAATGTTGGGAGAATAGATGCTGTATTATTTTTTCTAAGACTGGTCTTTTACTTGATTATGTGATCTGTTTTGTTTCTCCTGGAATGAGTGCGGGCCTCGTTGGTCCATGCAATAAGATAATGGTCAATTTAGTTTTGCTTGCAGTAGTTGCAGATTGGACATTGATTTGCTTGGTGACTTAAACCGGCGTTTCTGCTCTCCAGACTAAAATGACTTGTGGAATATAAACCCGATTCGGTTTTAAGTTCTTTGTTTATCTTTTTGGATCATTCGGAAAGTTATTCCTACAGGCTTACATGGATTATGAGTTCTCCTATGCTTGGCATGGTTTTTAAAGCAATTCTTCAATTCTTTAGATTCTGAATTGTCCTTCCCCTTCCAGTCTATCCGCCATTTTCTCTTCCTGAATATCAATAAGATCGTTACCATTCAATCAGTAAAGCAAGCGTGAGTGAATGAGTATAAATTTGTTATCCAAAAATAAAAAGGATGACTTATATTCTTTTATTTTATAGCTTGAGTGGAAATTTGGAAAAGTAAAAGGTCCGAGAAAGAAATACGAGGAATACGGGGGCATAACTATAAAAGACAAAAGTTTCACTCCGAAGTGCCATTGCAGTGTCTCTAGTCAGATAAAGATTAGAATTTAGACCGCTTCGGCACATGTGG